AATGAGAAGAACTACAACGCTGCCCTACCTGCACAAACAGACACCAGAATTTATGACCTCCAGTACTTTTCTAGACCAAGCTTGTGTTGTGTGGGTGTGCCATCCCATCATCTTTCAACACTCAACTCTATATTGGCAGCAAAACATAATGTATAATAACAGATGAAACATAAATGTATGAAAAAAATGAGTTAATTGTGGAATAAAAAATAATGAGGTATATTTGCATTAAAGTTAAAAAGTAAATTCTTCACAGTATACTGGTTCTCAGGGTCATGCTTAATTATTTGTTATTAGTTATTTGGCACAGCATACTATAGGTGAACCTATGTAATGAGACATAATTTCTCTAATTTGCTCATATACTGCTTAGAAATTTCCCTCTTTATCACTCCAAAGTGAATACAGTTATTGCAGCTGCTTTGGTCAAACCAGTCCCATTTGGTTGTTCATTGATTGACTTCCTGCATTAGCAAGTTTACCCTCAAAATATCATTTTCAACTCCACAGGAAACTGAAAGGCTGCTGATACTGTACCTGAAATGGTCTTGTAGTCCATTAGATCAAACATAATGACGAACACACAAGACCAAGTAATGATAAGAGCCAGAACCAAGATCCAGGCCAGCGGGGAGCTGAAAGTAGAGTAAAAGTCATCTGTAAAAGATTTCTTCAACACCCGCATAGGTGGTGCCCCAGCGTCTCCGTTCTTGTGATCGAGGACCATGGTTGTAGTGGTCGATGTTCGTGCTAATGAACAAAATATCAGAAACTTTGGTTAGTAAAATATGCACAGCACCTTTTTAATTTTTTTATCCCTAATATTCTAAGAAAATTTGTAAAATCAGAAGCTATGAAAACAAAACCCATTGCTTTATTTAAATACACATTACAAAAACTCTTCACTAGGAGCTACTGTTGGTGCAGTTACAGCCTGGTTTGCCACTTATAGCAGAGGTGGGAAGTAAAAAAGTACAAATACTTTGTTACTGTACTTCAGGTTTAAACTATTTGAGGGAAATTTATTTTTCTTAGCATGTACATCTTCAAAGATCAAAGCAATGTAAGCCTATATAAAGGAAACAATGATGCACAAAACAGTCTGACTAGTATACAAGTATACTAAACAACTGGAATTCTTTCCACCCAGTGGTGTCTAATTTTACTGAAGGTGACAGAGAGACTACTTCTCCGCTTTGCCTCACAGCCATCACATTAATTCCCCAACTATGAAGCATCTCCACAGCAAGTTCTTCGTAAACTCTTCTGACTGAAATTGAAAGAAGCATTGTTGCTCATCCTATTTCTCTTTGTACAAAAGAGCAGATACCAGTCCTGCTGCTGGGTTAAGGACCTTCTACGACCCTGTTTAGCTCTCCTAGAGTAACTGTCTGTCTCTTGGAATCTCCTCCATGTACTTGAGACAGAGCTGGAAGACAAACCAAACTTTCTGGCAATGGCATGTATTGACATGTCATCCTGGAGGAGCTATGCAACCTCTGTAGGGTCTAGGTATCAGCTCATGTGACCAGTGGTGATACTGACCTTAGCAAAACTAGTAAAAAATTATTCCTGTTTTGGGGTTGTCTCATTGTTGCCGCTTATGCACACCTGTAGGCATTTTTATTGACACCTAATCAGCTTAAACTGACCAACTGACCACCTCAATATGCCAAGAAATTGGACTGACTTGGTTCTATACTCTGAGAGTGTTCATTTAAATGTTTTGAGCACTGTATAAAATAAACTAACTAGCCTTAGTTTTTCATTATTCAGCCACAG